TCATTATTTTTTAATTCTATTTTTCCCACCAACTTTTTGCCCCCTCATATATAAGTAGTAGGTTTATCAGATAAATTATTGTGAATAAAATTACTTGGTCAAAGAGATTTACATTTAGAATCTTATTAGTTGTTAAATTGTTAAGTTTTTGTACTAATTCATACTTCCTTACAGATAAGTGTCTACCTCATTAACACCTCACCAACACTTTTAAATATTTACCAAGCTGAAAGGTAAAAAAAAATGTATTTCATTACTGTTTTATTTCCATTTTAAATTATGAATGAAGTTGAGAATATTTTCAAATAATATCCATTTGCATGTTTTCCTATTTTTTTTTTTAAATTCCTGCTGTTTGCCCATTTTTCTTTTGTTTGCTCAGTCTTTTAAAAACTAGAACTATAAAGGTAAATAGGTTTTAAAGAAATATTACTAAATTTTGAATCACTTTCCAGATATTCACTTGAGTTCTAAAGGAATTTAAAAAGCAATAAAAAATAAGTTCTTATATTTACACAATGTTTTAAAAGTGCAAACACTTGCTGCATACCATCACATATACTGTGTGTTTTCTCTCCCTTTTACACAGCTATCTTCTGAAGCAGGTCTCTTACCTTCATTTAATGGATGAAGACAATGAGATTAAGTGAGATAAAGTATCTTTATGTCAGAAAACTGGGAAAGACTTTGGATTTGGCATAAATAGATTATTGGATGTTTGACTAGCATACTCATCAGAATATCTGAATCTTTCATTTTCCTTTGTACTATTTCACAAGTGTAAGTTGTAGAAAGCTGATAGTAATGCAAACAATTTTTGGCCATAGGATGTGCAAATGTGTCCTGTCTGGTAGAGAGTTCAATCGGCCTTTGACCCCAGCTAGAACATGACCCTTTTAGGATCTGCATCACGTCTGTCTGATGGGATTCTTACTATGTACAAGGGTAAGTCAAAAAGTATTGCTACTACAGCTCTAGTTCATAAAAGCATGGGTTTAATACAGGGTCGCTATGGGTTGGAACCAAATCAATGGCACTTAACAACAACAATAATCCAAACAGTGTGTTTAGATGTGGTTTAAACATGTCTCTGTGATCAGGGGATGAGTGTAGACAAGGCCTTTCAGTAATAGACTTGTTTTCCCCTCATTAGGGTGCCTCCCAGAAAAAGGACCAATCAAAACAGTGGTTTCTGAGGGAATCCTCTGGAGTAGTTAAATGCAAGACAGAGAGGTCAGCTCAGAAGGTTCTGGCGACTGTTGTTTGGAGTTCTAAAGGGGTCATCTTGATAGGATGGTCACGGGGGCTTACTTTGAAGATGTTTTAAGAAAATGGAAAGCTGTATTGGTGAGAAAAAGGCCAGGAAAGTTGTGCCAAGGATTTCTTTTCTATTGTGACAATGCACCTGTTCATTCTTTGAAGATAGCAAGAACTCATTCTACTAGAATTTCATCAGGAAATGGAACCATTCAACCTGTAGCCCTGACCTTGCCCCTTCCGTTTTATACTTGCTCCCCAAACTCAAAGAACATTTAACAGGAGCATGAGTTGAGGCCTTTGATAATGCCAACCTTTCTGTATTGATGTGGTGGAAATGAAAGAGTGCAGAATTCTTTGTGGAAGGGCTAGAGAGATGTAAACACCACCTTCCCATTTATGAGCTAGACGTTTATGAGCTGGATTGGAGATGTGTTGAGAAATAATAGCTTCATATTTCAGTATTTTTGTTTAATAAAGTTTTCTTAGATTTCATAGCAATATTTTTGACCTTACCCTTGTGTGTGTGACAGAGGATACATTCCCTGGGAAAATAAACACATAAATAGATTATACAATTTTGTGTAATCTTGGGAGTTCCTTGACTAATTCAAAACCTGGCTTAAGAACTTCTGAGCTGGAGTTCAGAATCAGAATAACTGCCTAAAATCTTAATCTCAGAAGTAGAAAGCGATAGAAGATGTAATGGGGAAAATAACTTGCCATGTGCCAAAATGTATTACTCATTCAGCTATCAAAGAAAACCTATAAGGCAGGAAACTGGCTATTCAGGGATCTGAGACCTGGAGGTGGTGTACTATTTGTCAAGATCACACAGCTGGTGAGAAAAGTGGTTCCTTTGCCCCATAGATATAAGGTAAAATGAATAAAATAGTTCTTAGCTCAAAAGTAAATTCCTAGGAAGAAAAAGGTCATGCTACAAAATCAAATTTTATCTCTATACTATAATATAGATTCTGGTCCTCAGAATCTCTCTCCGGGCAAACAACCCCTTTTCACAGGGGCCTGGGGAAGGAGTGTAAGAGACTAGGGAAGGAATGGGACCCCAGAACAGAGTGGACCTGCGCCAGTCCCATTGCATCTGGTCTCCTCCATGACCTTCCATTATTAGGGCATGAGGTCAGAACACGAGTGAACCTCTGCCTGACCTGGTACTTCTATGACTCCCAAGGAGTTTGGGAGAGTTGTCAGCTTTTCCTCACACTTATGAGAGAAGACCTGGAAAGTAGGAGAGGAAGCTGAAGAGCCTTCCCATTTGGAAACAGGAAGGGGACTGCAGCAGGGCATGTGGTAAGAACCCCCAATAGTGAATTTAATGAGGTGGTTGGTGCATTGCCATTGAGGAAGGGCCACTTCAAGGGTAGGCCAGGTGAAAGTTGCCTCAATGGATGCCCTCAAGGGACTATGAAAGACAGAGGTAGGAAGTGGCCATTCCCTCCCGAATAGAAACTGTGAGAACATTTGCATAAACATACCCTCAATCCCACACTCAACCTGGCAAAGACCGCAGAGAGTGGAGCAATCTTAAATGCAACTGACTTTAAACCTTAAGTGTCTGAGGAATCAGTAATCTAGGAGTTAATAAATTTCCTACCAACAATATAGAAAGTAAATCCAGTTCTAGCAAAATGATAAAAATGACATTTTGTGCATAAAGTGGGTAGCTGCTCCCCAAGTTGTAAAGTTATGAGCTCCCTATATTTGCTTGTTAGTGAATGAGTGGTGCTTATTCCTTCAGCCCCATCCCTTTCTCTCTTATTGGAGTCACCCAGAGACCAGGTATCAGTATGACACTCGAGAACTCTGCACACTTTGGCACGTGGAGTTTGCAAAACATGTTCATATCAACCAGCTTGCTAGGTATTCAGAATGTTGTCCTACAAGTTAGATGGGTAAGAACAACTCACCCCATTCAACTGGGAAGAAAAGTAAGGCCCTAAGAGGCTGTCCCAAATTGCAGAGGCTGGTGGCAAAGCTCACTCCTATGACCTGTAGTCAGGGGCTGGGGAATGGAGGTGGTGCTTGGGGGCTGCAGTCTGTGGTTTTGATCTGCTGAGTGCCTGGAGACTTCCCCTTCCGGTCCCCCCCGCCCCATTGCTCATACTCTTGCCTCTGGTTTACAGATGAGGATGCTGATGATGAGGGCACTCAACACATGAGAGGGGGTACAGGACTGAGAGCCAGGCTTTCCAGGCTCTTGGACCAATTCTTGGCTGAGGTAGAATGCTGAATCTCTACTGTTTGAGGCGGATTCCTATAATGTCTCACTTTTACCTAGAGGCCAGTTTTGGCACAGCTTGGGAGAGTGGATCCTGCCTTTCCCAAGGAAAGGAGGTCTCAGACCCTCAGAGCAGTGGGAAGAGAAGCTGGTCACTTCCCTGGGAACATCCATGGGCTCATCCAAGCAGTCACTTTCCTGGTGGAACCTGGGTGTAACAATCTACCCGTAACAGCTCTGTACCTGCTCTTGGCCAATTACTTTCTCCTCCTTTCAGAGTTTTCCAGGTTTCTTTGGGAGGCAGCGTGGACCATTAGGAAGACGGATGGTTCCATTTTACAGATGGGAAAAATTGAAGCTCAGATGGGGAATGTGACTTGCCCAAGGTCTCACTGCAGATCAATAGCAGAATTGAGCTAAATCCCATGTCTTCCAGGGCAGACAGACACTACCCTTCCAGCAAGCCCTCACATATGCTCTGGAAAGATAAACTTTGGAAAGTCTTACTGTTCATTTGAGGAGCTCTAATAGCATAGTGGGTTACGAACTGGGCAGCTCACTGCAAGGCCAGCAGTTCGAATCTACCAGCTGTTGCATGGGAGAAAGATGAGGCTTTCTGCTCCCGTAAAAATTTGCATTCTCGGAAACCTTGTACAGGGTCACTATGAGTCGGAACCGACTCCACGGCACACCGCCACCATCACTGTTTATTCATTGCGGATAGAATGACATCCCTTCCCAACCCAGCAGAATAACCAAAAGTACTAATGTTTGTTTATTAAAAAAATTCTTTTTCCTCTTCCCCTCTCACTTTAGTATGCTCACATCAAAAACATAAAGAAAGTGTTAGCTATGGGTCACCTGCAAGATCACTGAGCATGTGGCCTACTTGCAGGGAAGGTTGGCATCATCCCTTCAACTGACCTAGACAGACCACTGTGGTTGGAGCCAGAGTTGTTCATCTCTATATCCACTTCCATTAGCAGAGTGCTCAGTAGGTGCTCAATAAATGTGCTGTGGGTGAATGAATGAATGAATGAATGGATGGATGGATGGATAGATGAGTGAACAGACTCCTCTCTTGTTGTTTTTGCCGTGATTCAGCTCACAAAAGTTAAGGCCAAACTCATCCTAAGAAGTTATCTTGTCCAGCTCTCTCCTGTTACAGATGAGGTCCAGAGGGGGTGAGTGACTGGTTGGAGATCACACAGCAAGGTCAAGGAGGCACAGATACAAGAGCATCATCTCTCTGCTTCAGAACTCTTTCTAGAACCTCATGTAGCTTCTGTTTTATGAGCCAGCAGGGTGACTCTGGCTCTTCTTTATCCTTTGACCCTGGCTGCTGAGTCTGGGCAAGCCTCCAGGAGGGTATCCTGGGATGAGGGAAGTCTGTCGAATGTGAGCCCTCAGTGGCCTGGATACCACCTGCCATTCACCTTCATCCAGAGAGGAGAGTGACTCTTTGGGTAGAGGCTGTCTGGTTCCTATGTTGATGTGGCACAGATGCTGCCCCACCCGGGGTGTGGAGGTGGCAGGAGGTGGGGTGCAGGGGTGAAGCCCTGTTGCAAAAGAGGGCCTGGGCATGGCTGAATCATCCACGGAGACCAGGAAAGGACGGTGACTCGAGCAGGGAACCAGGCAGTGGCCAACTGGCTTTGAACATGTGGATAGCAGCCTGTGGGTGGAGGCAGCCTGGGCAGACCTGCAGGTGTCTGCTGGGGGCCCTGTCACAAGAGAGGTCAGGAGACACAATGAGTCTTTAGCTTTGCCCTGGGTTGAGCCGACAGCTTCCCCACTTCTCCCATAGCTGGGTGGGGCCAGGGGACAGATTTACCCAGATTTCCCGGGGTTAGCATTGTGCAGACCTGGATGGTCTGTCATGACTATCCATGGCCAGGGGACCAGAAAACCTGGTTCTAATCCCAGTACTGGTAGCATAGTGGTTATGAATCGGGCTGTGAACCTCAAGGTCAGCAGTTCAAAACTACCAGCTGTTCCATGGAAGAAAGACGAGGCTTTCTGCTCCCATAAAGATTTATAGCCTTGGAAACCCTGTACAGGGTGGCTATGAGTTGGGACCGACTCCACGGCACACAACAACAACAACAACAATCCCAGCACCTACAGCAACAGTTTCTATGGAAAAGTCACTCCATTTCTCAGAGCCTGGTCTCTGTTTAGGTAAAAATGGATAACTTGGAAACCCTCCCTGATAGGGTCACTGCGTGTGTGTGTGTGTGTGTGTGTGTGGGTGTGTGGGGAGAGAGAGATAGAGAGAGAGAGAGAGAGAGACCCTTGGGTGCCATAAATGGTTGCAGTAAATTTGCTTGACTACCAACATAAAGCGGGTGGTTTGGACCCACCCAGTGGCACTTCGGAAGAAATGCCTGGCAATCTGCTTCCATAAAGATGGTTGTTGCGGTTGTTGAGTCAAATCTGTCCCATGGCGAGTCCATGTGTGCTGAGTAGAACTTCCTCAGAGGATTTGTGAAGCCGAGACCTTTCAGAAACGGATTATCAAGCTGTCCTTGAGGTTCCATCGGGTGTGTTTGAACCACTGGTCTTTTGGGGAGCAGGCAAATGCGTAACCCAAGGACTCCACTGTAAAGATTACCCCACATCAAACCCACTGTCACTGAGTCGATTCCACCTGGTAGGAACCCTATAGAGGGGTTTCTGAGACTACATCTTTATGGGACCAGCAGTCTCATCTGTCAGGTATGTAAAAACTTCTAACGCTAGGAAGAATAATGAGAGCTCATCGGTTCCTGAGGGCAGGTCTGACAGTCTTGCTTACTGCTGTATCCACGGCTGTTGGTGGTGTGTTAACTGCCATGAAGTTAACGTGTGAGTGCCCCAGGAACAACTAAGCAATACACTGCCCATCCTGTGGTATCCCCCTGATCACTTCCGCATCAGACCATTGTGGTCCTTCGAGTTTTCACTGTAGATTGCCAGGACTTTCTTCCTGTTTTGTCTAAGTTGCAGCTCTCACTAGGACCTGTTCATCCTGAGAGCAGCACACAGGCCTCCACACACAGATGGTGGTGGTTCCACATGAGGTGTATTGGCTGGGAACTAAACTCAGATCTCCTTCACAGAAGTGGGAATTCTAATACTAAACCATCACTGTATTCCTCCCTTCTAGTGTATATTCAATCAAAATGATGTCTTAAGTCAATGGACAGCTAGTATTCAGGGCGCTGTGAGTTGGAACTCCACTTACTGGCAGTGGGTTTTTAAGTTTATGAAGTGCGGGGCCCTGATGACCCAGTGGTTAAAGCGTTCAACTGCTACCCAAAAGGCCAGAGGTGTGAACCCAACAATGGTCACCAGTGATCCAGCTGCTGCTAAGTTGGTGTTAACTCATGGGGTCCCCATGTGTGTCAGAGAACTGTGCTCCCCAGGTCTCTCAATGACTGATTTGTGGGAAGTAGAAATCAGGCCTTTCTTCTGAAGCACCTCTGGGTAGTTGCAAACCTCCATCCTTTTGGAGAGCAGCTGAACACTTGGCACCAGACAGCTGAAGCAGTTTGCTTCTGTGAAGATTGACAGCATTGGAAACCCAAGGGGCAGCTCCATTCTGTCCTATAGAGTTTCTGTGATTTGGAATCAACTCCAAGGCAGTGGAGTTTTTGTTTTTTCTGAGACGTCAAGCATTCTTTATATCTCATTCATTTCATCTTCATCAAAGCTCTGTTATCCCTTGAGAGGCAAAGAGACCCTTCATCAGTTGAGCTGGGATTTGAACTCAGGCTGTCTGATTCCAGAGCTGAGGTGCTCAACGTTTTAAACAAGGTCTTAACTCTATGACCTTGGTTTATAAGCCACAAAGCTTTGTGCATTTAATATAAACCACTCCCAGGAAGAGGAAGGGGCACCATGATTGTTACCCAGTGGATGGAACTATGGCAGCAGAGAGAGACCAATGACCGGTCCCAGGTCCCACAGACTTCCAGAACTCTCTGTGTCCTTACTGCTCCTAGAATAGTTCCTCTTTCATGTTTTACTGTAGACAGGGCCCTGAAGAGCTCCCCCTGCCATCTGGGTTTGGATGGGATGCTCCCAGATGATGGCTTCCCCCTCCACCCCCAGCCCACCTCAATGCCTCAGTCACTCACAGTCACTTCCGGATTTGTCTTTGGGGCCAAGTTTGCCTCACTCAGCTGCTGAGGAGCTCCGAGGCTGCCCATCTTCTCTTGCTTCCTCCACTTGGCACGTTGATTCTGGAACCAGATCTGGGGTGGAGTCGAGAGAAGACAGAGATCAGAGGAAGAGTAACCAGTGTGGAGTCCTGGTATGGAGCTGTGGGATAAGAACTGGACAGTGAGGTCAGTTTGAATTGTAAGGTTGGAGGTTCTAACCCACCAGCCACTCCTCAGAAACCCTATACGTGGTTGCTGTGAGTTGGAAATGACTGGATGGCACTTAACAGCAACAGTAACCAGTTACCCAGTTGCTGTCAAGTTGGCATTACCTTATGTGTGTCAGAGAGCTGTGCTCCATAGAGATCTCAATGGCTGATTTTTGGGAAGTATCTCATCAGGTCTTTCTTCTGAAACATCTCTGGGTTGCTGCAAACCTCCAACCTTTTGGAGAGCAGTTGAACACTTGGCAGTTTGTACCAGGGGCTCTGTTTAGTACCTGCCCCCAAATGCATTATGACAGTTTATAAAGCACCAGCGTATCCAGGGTTTCCTTTCAGTCTACTGAAAGGAGAGCAGGGATCACACTCTTCAACAGCTTTAGGGCCAAGAGAGACGTACACAAGTGAAACAGATGGTACCAGGTAATGGAGGAGGTGGGGTCTGTGGTGAACCAGAGTATCTTGGCCCAGTGTTTTGTTGTTTTGCTTGTTCACTGCTGACTACTTGGCCACAATTCATGGCGACCCAATAGAACAAAATGTTACCTGGTCCTACACCACCCCCACGACCCATGGCAGATTGGGCCATTTTTATCCATAGTACTTACACTGGCTGATTTTTAAAAAAGAAACTTTCTATTGTTGGCTTCGTGAAAGTTTCCACTACAAACTAGTTTCCCATTCAGCAATTCATACGCAATTGTTCTGTGACCTTGGCTGCTGTCTCCGCCGGGTGTCAGCTCTCTCTCCACTTCCACCCTGCTCTTCCTATTTCCATCTCCCCAATTTCCCTGCCCCTCCTTGTCTTCTTGGGCAAACGTTGCCCATTTGGTCTGATTTAGATAATTTTTCTACGGAGCACATTCTTCAAGGTATTACATTTTATTCTTTTGGAGGCCAATCTATTATTTGACTGAATGGTGATCTTTGAAATTGTTGAATGGTCTTTGAAATTGTTGAATGGTCCACTAGACCTTTCTTTTGGGTTCACATTAGCCTGGAAGATCAGCTGAAACCTGTTTAGCATCGTAGCAACATGACAACCCCCTGACAGATGAGTAGCAGTTGTGTTTGAGGTACACTGGTGGTGGTGGTTATGTGTCGTGGAGTTGGTTCTGACTCATAGCGACCCTGTACAGGGTTTCTGAGGTTGTAAATCTTTAAGGGACTCGTTTTCTGGCACTATATCTGATAGTGTTTCTCTGCTATTCATAAAGTTTCAGTGACTAAATATTCAGAAGTAGTTCATCTCTCCTTCTTCCTAGTCTGTTTTTGTCTGGAAGCTCATCTGAAACCTGTCCACCATGGGTGACCCTGCTGGTATTTTAAATACCGGTGGCATAGCTTCCAGAATTAGAGCAACTCACAAGCCACCACAGTATGACAACCTGAGAGATGCGTGGTGGAAGAGTGCTTTAGAACATTGTTTTTGTAAAAGTGCCAAAAGTGTGAAAGTTGGGTTTGATCATGGCAAATGGGGTGTGTATATATTCTTGGTGAGTAACAGGGAGTAATGAGTTTCTAGCCATGGATAGAACAAGGAAGATTTGGGGTTAAGACACTACATAGACAGTTGGTGCTTAAACTAGTACTCTGGTCATAGCTCTGGGGCTCTTTTCATGTCCCTTGTTGCTCCCACAGTGCTGCCCACATGATCTAGATCTAAGATTCATGGGAATTGGGTCCACCACCTGTTTTTGTGTAGCCCATGAGCTAAGACACAGAGTCATTGTACAGAATCACTGTTTCAAAAGAAATGGTCAACATTAAACCATTTAAAGAGGTAGCAGATGATCAAGAGCCAATGATACTGCAGGAAGAAGTCCAAGTAGCACTGAAGGCATCAGCAAAAAACAAGCTCCAAGAATTGGTGGAATGCAAATTGAAATATCGCAACAAATTGATGCAGCTCTGGAGGTGCTCATTCATCTATGTTAAGAAATGGGGAAGGCCTCTACCTGTCCACCTGATTGAAAGAGATTCATATTTGTGCCCATTCCAAAGAGAGATGAGCCAGTAGAATGCATAGATCATTGAAGAATATTACTAATATCACATGCAAGTAAAATTTTGCTTAAGATAATTAAAAAAACAAAACAAAACCCAACAAAGTTGTAATAGTACATTGACAGGGAACTGCCAGAAATTCAATCTGGATTCAGAAGAGAAAGTGAAATAAGGAATATCATTGCTGATGTCAGATGGATTTTGGCTGAAAGTAGAGAAGACCAGGACGATGTTTACTTGTTCTATATTGACTATGCAAAGTTTTTTGACAAATTATGGACAACACTGCTTAGAATGGGTATTCCAGGACAATTGTGTAGACCAAGAGGCAGTCATTTGAACAGAACAATGGGATACTAAATGGTTTAAATTCAGGAACATTGTGGGTGAGGGTTGTCTCCTTTCACCATACTTATTCAATCTATATGCTGAGCAAATAATCCAAGCAGCTGGTTTAAATGAAGAGAAAGTGGCATCAGGATTGGAGAAAGACTTATTAAAAAACCTGTGATATTCAGTGGATACACATTTGCTTGCTGGAAGGAAAGAGAACTTAAAATACTTACTGTTAAAGATCAAAGACTACAGCCTTCAAAACGGGTTGTACCTCAATGTAAAGAAAACAAAAATCCTTACAACTGGACCAATAAATAGCATCATGATACATGGAGGAAAGACTGAAGTTGTCAGAGACTTCATTTTGCTTGGATCCACAATCAGCACTCATGAAAGCAGAAGTTAATAAGTCAAATGATGGATTGCATTAGGCAAAAATGCTGCGAAAGACCTCTTTAAAATGCTAAAGGGCAAAGAGATCAGTCTAAAGGCTAAGGCATGCTTGACCCAAGCCATGGTATTTTCATATGCTTTATGTGCATATGAATATTGGACAACGAATAAGGAAGACTGTAGAAGAATCGATGCATTTGAACTATGATATTGGAAAAGAATATTAAAAGTACCACGAACTTTGAGAAGAACAAACAAATATGTGTTGTAAGAAGTATAGCCAGAAAGCTCCTTAGAATCTATGATGGCAAGACTTTGTTACTTCAGACATATTATCAGGAGTGACCAGCTCCTGGAGGTGGATATCATGCTTAGTAAAGTGGAGAGTCAGTGAAAACGAGTGAGACCCCCAATAGGATGGATTGACACAGTGGCAGCAGCGGTGGGCTCAAATGTAACAACAATTATGAGGTTGGTGCAGGAGTGGGCAGGATTACATCCTATTGTGTATGGGGTCACTATGAATTGGAACGGACTTGACAATAGCATGAACTAAGTGTGGTTTCCACATTTTTTAATGGTTACGAGCAAGTCAAAAGAGGAGTAATTTTATGACACCAGGAAAATGACCCCAAATTCATATTTCCGTGTCCGTAGATCAAGTTTTATTGTAATACTACCAATGTTTGTTTGCTTACTCATCAATGGCTGCTTTTGCGGCACAAGGAGAGATTCGAACAGTTATAACAGTAGTTACATGCCAGTGAAACTTGAAGGAATTACTATCTGAGTCCTTATAGACAAACTCTACAGACTTTTTGTCTGCTCTAGATTGCCAAGACCTATTTTATGAATGAGGCCGGATGGTAAATGAGTCTCTGGAGCTGTAGCCATGTTGAGTTCCTGGGGAGTACAAATCGGTATATGATGATCTACTAACCAGAAGGTTGTAGGTGTGAATGAATGGAAATCTACTTCTTAAAGGTCACAGCCTGGAAAACTCTAAAGAGTGCAACTCTATTGTGAATCACATGGGCTCCCCTGAATTAGCATCGACTTGATAGCAATTTTTCGTTGTTGTTGTTGTTGTTGTTTTTCGGTTTTTAACCAAGTAAAGGGGAAGGGCCTGGAAGCAAAGTTTAATGGCATGCCACCTTACTCTATTTCCAATGCCAAAGGAGAACAATGATTTTATAATGATGGTGGCCTCATTTCCTGGAACACAATATCTGGCACATGGGACTGTACTTATGGCATAAAATAAACAGAAAATTTCAGATGAGGGCAGCTCTGGAAATCTGAGGCTACATTATATCTCATCTGTGGCCACTGTGAGGCTGAGGGTGGGGATAGCTATACCTGAACACGTGTTTCTGGGAGGTTGATCCTGGCTGCCAGCTGGTTGCGGACCTGGACGTCTGGGTAGTGGGTGACATGGAAGGTCTTTTCCAGCTCCTGCAGCTGCTCTGTGGTGAAGGTGGTGCGGACTCTCCGCTTGCTCTTCCTTCCCTCTGTGGGAGAGAGATGGAATTGAGTCAGTGGTCTTGGAATTAGTTTAGGATTCCTCTTGTTCAACCTCTGCTGCCAATTTGGTCCCAGATTGGAGAAACACAGAAAGGAGTGGGTATAAAAGGTGGAGAAGGATCCTGGAGCTGAGGTCACTCCCTGTGGTGGGGCTCCCTGAAATAGGACTGGAGAGACCCCACAGAAGGTCAAGAGCAGTTTTGGGAGTGACAGATGGATTTGAACTTGGAGTCAACGGATTGATGTTATGTTTTGAGGTTGGACTTTGTGAAAACTTTTACTCCTTAAGTTACACTGTCCAATATGCGACATGTGGATATTTACATTTCAACTGATTAAAATGAAATTAAATAAAACTTTATTCCTCAGTCATACTAGCCAGAGTCCAGTGGTCATGTGTGGCTAGTGGCTACCATGTTGGACAGCACAGATACAATTTCCCTCATGGCAGAGAGTTCTATTGGATAGAGTGGTTTCCCCCTTGGGTTCTTTATTATTATTTTAATTTCTTGCAAATTGAATATTTTAATACAATTCCATATCTGCACACACATGTAGCTATGCAGGACTTTCAGGCCTCAGGAGCTATGGATTAATAAACTGGCCCCTTGGAATCTACAAACAAGCTATATGCTTTCTTTCTATTTTATATGCTCAGAAACTAGAAAGGCATGGAGTGGCATGGATCTGCTTAGCTCTAGTGATAGGAAGTTAACAGGTGTCTGGTGAGGGGTGTGCTCCTGAGTGCAGGAGGTATTGTTGACAACAGGGACACCATCTGTGGCCTCTGGCTCTTTTAGCAGCCTCTTGCTGTATTTAACCTCACTATTGACTACAATACTTATAATTTTTGATTCTTCATCCATAGGAGTTAACATTCACCCAAGATCAAGTTTCCTGCCCCTCCAGTGGTAACAAATCTTCAGAATACTTTTTCTGTTTCTGAACTTTATGGAGAAGTGTTCTGTCTTTTGACGATCCAATCAGGCTCCACCTAAATGGAGGATAAA